TGTGAGTGTGAGCCTTGTATGTGTGTAAAGTGAAAACTCTGATGAGGAAATGCACAGTCAGCAGGCATTATACACACAGGAGAAAGACGTGATAAGAGAGACAAGGCGGAGGAGGGAGAGAGAAAGAAAAAGACCAGAAAGTAGAAGATAGAAACTAACATAAAAGAAAGGAAGATTTGTTATAACACTTTAATGCACATTTGTATGCTCTCAGAGTGTTTATACATTTTAAATCTAATATACATCCTAATAAATCATAGTAAACCATGATTTATAACCGTCCAGTTAAATCTAGGCATTGTGTTTTGTAGCTAACTTTTTTGCTGCTATCAGCTAATTTAACTGGCAGCGGCTTCTTGGCAATGTAGTAGGTTAATTATAGAATAAGTGACTTAAATGGCATTTTGGTGGACAAAAGGACAGTCATTTGTAAGAACTGGGAAATCAAGTCTGTTCCTCCAGCTGATAAATATAAGAAAAGTAAACACTAAATACCAAATGTGCTTTACCCCCATTTTACCAACAACCTCCATTATGGTTCTATCACTGTGTTTAAAGCAACATAGGCACTGGTGAATGATGTCTGTACAGAGTTTGCCACTAGAAGGATGTTTTTACATTCATCTGCTGAGAGTGGAAAGATTCTCTGAGCTCAATGAAAATCTGATTTTAAGGGGTGGGGCCTACCAGCATGATTTGTGACATCACAAAATCCTGGTCCAGTATGCAACTTATACAAGTGTGATGTAGAAACTTGAAGCCACCAGTGCACAAGCACTGAGAATGGACAAAGTAGACGATATCTTAATTGCTTTTTTGTGATTTTAATGTGACAAGCAGACAAGTTCTATATATGTCTGAATACATGTGTCTGTATAGGGATCTTTAACACCATTTCATTTTAAAAACATCATCTGTTGGGGCTGTGAAAGACTAATAATCAATGATTAAAATGTGACTAAAACCAGTGCACTAAATGAAAGTCAGGTGCCAGATTGAACATCGGAGGACGGGGAGGGAAGTTAAAAGCAGCAGGGGCAGGAAATATGAAGAGAGTGATCAACAGAGAGATGAAATCTTGCCAGACCACGCACTGAATTATTCAGGCCTCCCTTTTCCGCACCTGTCATTCCACCTTTACTTTCCTCCCGCTCTTAATCTCCCACTTTCCCTTTGGTTTGGTGTCTCTGTGATACAACGTGAGTCACAATCAGCTGATGGACGCAGTCGTACCTGCTGTGTAAATCCTGGAACGTGGTGTGGAGTGTTTATTTGCACAGGTAGAGATGTTTTATTTTCACTTTTACCTTCACTAACGGGGAGCTACTAATTAATAGATACAGTCTGTGGATTCAAATGCGATGCCGTGTAAATGTGAGCTGCTGTGTGACAGGTTTGTGATGGACAGGTGGCTCTAATGGGGACAGCCCATTTCTAACCTCCATTTTCTTGAATTATTGAAGGCGGGGCTAAATCCAGGTACTGTGGATGAATGACAGCTAAACACTCACCTGAATGAGATCGTTCATGCATTTTCTACCTCTTACCAAGCATGTATTTCTTAAGATCCAATATAAAGTTTCTTTTAGCATAAACTTGAAGCTCATTTTCAGTTTTGACCCAAAAAATGCTGATTTTCATGAAAAAGAGCCGATCAGTTTGAATTGATTTTGATATGGACTGCATGTTCTCATTCAGCCAATAGTCCTCATTTTTACTGCTCACCAGATTAAACTGGTGGCTGGGTTCCAGTTTCCAGTTTGGATCCAGTGCCCAAATAGCAGAATACCTAAATTCACTAACACATCTTTGATTGAACTGTTTATCTCTCCACTGTCTTTTATTGGGAAAGAGCAGTGTACAAAACATTACGATGTCAGCAGGCCTCTCAGTTCCCAGTAGCTGTTGTTAGGTGTCAGATCAGCTTTAGTTAATTAATGTTAAAGATGCCTTCAAGAAATGTATTAAGATATAATATAAATCATCTGCTAGGAAGAATAAGCTGTGTTTGATATGTTTTATCTGAAAAAAAGCATCATTTCCTCATTAAAATCCTTAGAAAGGCGTCCACTCCTTCGACCCATTTCTAAAGTTTTCCTGCTGAGACATTCTCAGTGTCAGTGCACTGACGTATAAGAGGTCCTTTCACACCTGAAAGTCTGATCCGGTTTGTTGTCACATTGCAATCATAAGAGTGCACTAAAGAACTTTACATGACATACGTACATCCTGTCCTCCTCACCCTCGTGGGCTGCATCATTGCTGGTTATAAAGAGTTCGGTCTAGACCTGCTCTATCTGAAAAGTGTCCTGAGATAACTTCTGTTATGAATTGGCGCTATACAAATAAAACTGAATTGAATTGAATTGAATTACCTCCTGTAATAGGTCCAAAAGTCCGAACCATCCACCGTCACACTAGAAACGAATTGAACCATGATTCAGTTTGATCCCGGCTGAGACCACCTCTTTTTGTCGGACCAAAGTTCGGCTGTTTGATCCAGAGTGTGGTCAGAGGGAGGATTCATACCTGTGATTTTGGTTTGGATTACACCAAAACGTCAGAAAGTCCGGACCAAACAAGGTAGGTATAAAACCACCGTAAATTGCGTACTGAACCCGGATTGACTCCAAACTCATTAATTAATTATGTAAATTATATTTTTACAATTTAAAACATTCACAATTCAGAACAACATAAATATTGGACTACAAGTAGTTCATTGATGTTTGTTGTCCTTTTCCACATTCACACAAACATGCATCTCTAAGTAACCATGGTGATACCGGTACCAGGTGGGGTGGTTACGTGGTAAATGCGTGTTGAGAGTTTTCCCTCTTTTCATCACAGCTTTATTTTCCTCCTCCTCCTTCACTCCTGTTTTCTGCCCTGTGATATCACCATGACTTGTTACATAGTGTTGTGATGTTCAGGCTGAAAAGCTGCCTGACTGTCCCTCTCGTCCCTCTTGTCCCTCTCCTCTCATGTGTTAACATGCGCGGGTCATAATCAAGCCTTTCTGGAAAGGTGCATGTCAGCAATCCCGGGATCTCATCAATATTAATCAGAGCTGGTCAGAGAATGCATAAGCATTCATTAGGCCTCATAAAAACTAATCATGGGCAGCATCTAAGGTCACAGGACAAACAGGACTCATCGCAGGGGACACTCGCTACGCTCTTTATGCAGGTTTCAGGACGCCAACGCCTTCCCCTGCAAACGTGTTCCCACTCCCGACCGGTCCAATACTGCAGTTTGGTTGGTGGCCCTCCACTTCAAAATATGACGCTCTAGGTGCCCCCCTCACATCATTTTTGGAGATGCTGGGCTCCAGAGACAAGATTGCAACAATCAATGTGCAACATCCAGTTAGAGTTTTTAAAATAAAGCTTGTGTGGTTAATGTTGTTTGGTTAGGTTTAGGCCCAAGATATACTGGGTTCGCTGTAGGAAACGTAATGTACCCAACTTAAGTACGTTACGTAGGTTACACGGGACACAAAGTTGTGTGCTTTGTTTTTGTCATCCATCCACCTCACCACCAGGCCCTGACACACACCTTTAAAAAGATGGATGAATGAACTTACAGCAGGAATAGAGGGAAGACAGAATGACAGGTTTTTGAATCACTTTGTGAACCAGTTCAGTTTAGTCATCTGGATCCACATTTGTCGTATATTCGACCACATAGTGTGTCTTTACTGGCCCTCAGATTCTCAAAGTAAAATGAGAAAAAGAGCAAGTTTGACCTGGCAGCTTGTCTCTTGTGTATGTTTGCAAAAATCCAGATTCTGCCCTGATGTGTGATGTCAGTGCCGCCTGCAGCTAAAACACACACGGAGGCGATGTGTGCACGAAGGGGCTGCGCGAGAGTGTAAATGTGAGCACTTATGTCAGTGTAAACTTTGAAGAAATAGAGGAGAGTTTCAAGTTCAGCAATGCCCTCGGTGCTCGGCATCTAAACCGGACAGACCTTGTGTCAGCAGGTTGGTTTAAGAGAACTCACACACATACACACCAGCGACATGAACACGCACACACACGCGCATACGCACGCAGAGTGGCTGAGCAAACAACATCACCAGCACATAAACAGGTGTAATCAAACGCGCAAAGTGCTGAAGAGAGGGGAATCTGTGACGTGCATGATAAAAGGAGCCTTTGAGCAGCTAAAAAGCCGACGTTGAAGACCAGAGAAGAAGAACAGAGAAGAAGAGAGATGAAGAAGAGGCCTTGGCCTGAGGCTTGTTAGTTTGTGTCTCTAACAGCAGTTTGTTTGAACCTCTGCGTGGCCTGTTTTCTTATTGACAGCTTCTCCTTCATCACCCTGCCAGGCTACAGGGCCACAGAGGGAGGGGGGTTGGGGGGGTTAGGGAGCTCCCGGGCAGGGTGGGGGGAGGCGGCCCGACACCCCCCCCCCGGACGCTGCAGCTAAAGCGCTGATGGTTAGCTAGCACAGCTCCCTTTGTGCTGAAGCCCGAGCTTTAAACTGCTGCGTCTGCCTCCGACACACACGTACGTCCACACACACCTCAGCAAAAACAGACACTCGGCCCGTCGATACACACCCGTCACCTGGCGCTGGGAAACGAACGAGTGTGAGTGTGGACGACACACAAGCGGGAGCTAACACACGTGCAGCCACCGACGGCGCTGTGTGACATCACCTGGGCTCAGAGGTGCCTCCCTCAGCTCTTCCATATGCACCGTCCTGATCACACACACACACACACACACACACACACACACACACAGTGCTCACCTCTGGTCATGATGTACGCTCTCAGAGGACGCCGCCTGCCCCACCAGCACTGATGCGGTCATCAGTAGGGTCATTAATTGTGGCGTCCCTCAGGGGGCAGCACACCGAGGCAGGATGGGGAAGTGTGTGTGTGTGTGTGTGTGTGTGTGTGTGTGTGTGTGTGTGTGTGTGTGTGCGCGGTGCTTCTGTCTTTGTGAGGACCAATTTGAGTTTTACACCTTGAGAGTGAGGGTATTTGGGTGACTGGGGGGGATTTTAGTGAGTCAAGGGCACTTTTGGAAAGTGGGGACATTTTGGAAAAGTAGAAAAACATTTTAGAAACTCAGGGTAGTTCTCGAAAGTGAGGACATTTAAGGAAACTACATTTTTAGTACAATTGTAAGTACAGACCTTATTGTAGGATCTTTTGATAAATTAAGACATTTTCCGAAAGTGGAGGCTTTTTTTAAATGATGCATTTTTTTGAGGACTTTCTGAAACGTGAATTAGTTTTTTAATAATGCCGACATTTTCAGAAAGTGAGAGTAATTTTGGAAACAGTGCTGGATTGGAAAGCAGAAACATGTTCCTGACAATGAGGACATTTTTGGTGAGTGTGAACACTTTTAGAAAATAAAGATATGTTTGCAATTTTCGGAGGATGTTTTCTGGAAATTGAGAAAGTCAGGTCCTTTTGAAAAAGTAGAATTGTGAATATTTTATTGAACGTGGGTAGATTTTGCAAAGTCGGGACGTTTTGTCTGCTCTTTAGCTTTTTAAAGTTTACAAACATTTGTGGTTAGGGGCCAGGAAATGCATTATGCCAATGAGGGTCCTCTTAAGTATAGAAGTACAAAATGATTGGTGTGTGTGCACATATGTATGTGTGTGTGTGTGTGTGTGATGGGGGGGGTATGTTTGCCCCACGCCGATGCTGCATCTGGTGTGGGGCACACATTTTGCTGGTTTAGCATTTTAGCATGCTGCTGCTTGCGTTGTGTGTGCACTGTACGTACAGTAGGAACATGCACAGTGTGTGTTTCTCTGATTGTGTGTGTGTTATACGTAAGTGTGTAGTGCAGTTTTAAAAAAGCAACTTAGAAAATTACAAAGAAAATAAAAAAACTGACAAATATAAGCAGATAAAAGACATGAATCTGTTCCCAAATACTCTCACATGTATATTTCTGTGTGTTGTTATGTACACTACAAATGAGCTGGTAAACAGTACATTCACTCATCTTCGCCAACCTCTCTCTCGAAGCTTCTGTCTCTACTTTTCCCGAGTGTTTGTGTCTGTTTGTGTGTGTGAGACAGCGAAATAGTGCGCATGTGATGTGCTGTAAATCCCCTCTGTTTGTCTGGTTTCCCCCTCATTAGTGAGAGAGAGTTAACGTTAGCACAAGTGTCCTGCGCTGGACCGTGAGATTAGTAATTAACGCCGAGTCTAACGAAGGGAGAAAAAACAACACCTCGACAAAGTCCGACCATCAAGCAGCCAGACCTGCTGACAGAGACAAACTTATCCACTGACACTTCCAAACTCCGCCTGGGGTGCACAGTCACATGGGCGGGAGTGTGTATGTGTGTGTATTTAGGATATTATTATTCATTTTTGGTGATGGTTTATGGAGCAGAAAAGAAAGCAGGAACAAAGAGGGCAGAAATAAAATCTCTCTCTGTGTCTTCCTATTTCTGTCTCCAACTTCCTTTTTTTGTAATTTCACATTCAATCGCAATATCAGCTTTTCGGCCAATCACACGCTCCGGTCTCTCAATCTCGGAGCCACATCCCCCCCGACCATTCGGCCTCTCCCAGCCCTTCACCGTCTGGCTTACAGAAATCCCAGAAATCCAAGCGGATGGAAGCTCCCTGTGGTTAATGATGTCACAGGCTGATCCATTCCTGTGTCCGCTACGCTCCCACTCAAATCCTCCACAATTCCCATATGTGCTCCATGATAAGTCCCATCATGCCTTTCTGCTGACCCTCCTCGGCCCACCTTATTCATTTCGGGTCTGTCTCCTCCAGAGCTGGGATTTGGGCGGACTCGGGGCGGGTTTGGAAGGGTTAATAGGAAGCTAAGAGGTAGGAAATGATGGAAGGGGGAGGAGAGAGGAATCGTTTAGCTCACCTTGGAAGGGTGTTCAATAGAGGCATCAAAGGGGACAGGAGATGTCCTCCGTTCTACACAAAGCTGGAAATCCTTTTATTAGCCCAGCTGGCATGTAATGGGAGGAGAAGGAGGCAGGGAGCGGAGAACGTTATCCCTCAGTTATGTTGTATTTTTAAAGTCAGACTGTCCTAATATCTTGTTTTCTAAGTCTCTCGAGCTAATCAGATATTTGTTTCATCCTGTTTTTCATCTGCACTTTCATTTCCAATGTGGAGAGAGCATACAATTTGATATATAGCTCAGAGTTTTAATCCTCTAGTTTGAGTTAGTTTAATGGGGATAAATGATTGGAGAAGGTCAGAAGGTGAAAGTAAAAAGTGAGTACTGTACTTCAGCTCATACCACTGACACATAATGGACTGTACTTCTACTGTTTCTGATTGGCAGGTTTTTGTTAAAATCAAATAACAGGACCTCAGACACACAGCAGCATAACCACCAACTAACCCTCGCCGTTTATAATTAATGACAACTGAGCATCTGCTGATGAAGACCAGTAAAAACAGAAAGAAAGTGAACCTTCAGTTTAGTCAAACTACTGTTTCCAGGTTTTTTTCTTAGAAATAACCAATACGGTGAAGAAGTCCTGAGTGCTATGGGCTCCAATGTCAACAGATCCATCTCCATGACAACTGAGCAAACTCTCATCCAGTGATGCAAACTGTATAATATGTTTGAAAGCCCCTGAAAAAGCTATTAAATTGACCTTGAGTTGGGATTTTGTCAAATAAAGACACACATTTAATGTGAGGTTAAAATTATTAAAGGTTGACAGTATTATTGACGCATTGAAGGATTTACTGATCCATTGAAAGTGTATAAGTGGCTGCAGTACTGCCTGGTTTTCTGCTAGTTTTTACTATATTGTGTAACTCGAGGATACAAGGTAATTTTATTGTTATTTCACAACACAGGGTTATATAACGAAATTCAGGTTCCCTTTATCCTACTCATAAAAACAAAAGCTATATACAAACATTGTATACAGTAAAATTGATCAATTAAGTCATAAAAAAGTAAAAAAAATGTTATTGCTTACGTAATTTTGAGTTACTTTCACTCCATTACATGTATCTGACAGCTATTGCACATTGATTTTACTTCCATCAACTTAAAAATATAAAACTTTTTTACAAATTCAGTTGCCAAACACATTTATATTCACAGCTACAAAATTAAAATGCTTCTTACATGTTGTTAATGCATCCTTAATTATTATCCAGTAATACATCTAGAATAATGAATGATAAATGGGACATTCTGCCAAATAATGCCTAATTGTGCTGATAATACTCATCTAATTTTACTTTTCAACGCCGGACTGTTACATTGCAGTATTAGTATTTTTACTCATGTAAAGCATCCCAGTATTTCTTGTCCCTGTGTTCTCAGACAGTGTGTGCAGAAAGTGCTTGAAGTTTAGAGAAGTGAGGACATTTATGGAAGATTAGGATACTTTGTCTCATCCTCATTTGTTCAAAGGGCTGCTGAGGCTTTTAGTGATGTAAGCCATGCAGCTGTGATGGCTAAGGTTAGGGTTAAAGAAAGTATGATGTCAAAGAGAGTCCTCGGAAGTACAAATGCGTGCGTGAACAGAGTGTTTTTGTGTTTGTTTGTGTGCAGGCGACCAGAGCCACCGAGGAACTCATTCAGCCTTTACCTGCCACGACATTGGAGGACCCGGGAGTGTGAGAGAGGTGTGTCTGAATAATTGATAATAAGTAGATTTCAATAGGCTGAACATGTCCGTCCTGATCAGCGACCTGTCAGTCAGTCAGGACCTCCCTGCCATTGGACAGGAGGGGGGGTGTCGAGGTGATGATGGACCAGACATGGAGGGAATGGATGGAGAGAAAACAGGAAGGGGGGATAAGAGATGTAAGGTATGGAGGTTGGTAGAAATAAGGCCACTACAACCTCCGCACCCCCTCCTCTTCCTCGTCTCACCTGGAGAGACTCATGCGTAGCTTTTCTCTTTAGACCTCGGGGACGTCAAACTCAAAACGCGTCTGGAGCGGAACACAGTGAACCCGGGCCGTGACGAGGAGCTGAATTAGAGGAGGAAAGTGGCTAAAAAGCTCTGAGGAAGTTGCTGACGGAGGCAGTTGTGTGGATCAACTCTCTCAGGTGGCTGCCAGCTTCACTACGTTCCTTCCAGGCCTTCTCAACTCTGTAAACTTTGTGTGTGTGTGTGTGTGTGTGTGTGTGTGTGTGTGTGTGTGTGTGTGTGTGTGTGTGTGTGTGTGTGTGTGGAGCGAGAGGCGAGGTTGATAATGTCAGCAGCGACCGGCCATCTCTCAGACCAAATGGGCCTCAGCTGTCAGCTGTGGTAGAGCTAAACTGAGTTTAGGGGAGATTAACACAGAATGACATCCTGTTTGCTTCAGTCTAATCCTAATCTAATCTGACGGGGCTGCATGTGGGGAAATGTTGCGCTCACTTTGCCTCCCAGAAAAGCTTGTTTTACATTCTTTCATTGTGTCAGACAACACAGGGAAGTTATTTAAATTCTGGTGGGTGGATTTGTGTCCATGTTTGCCTCGTTGGAACCAAGTAACAGTGGATAGTCAGATGGATCTGTAGAGGGGTGGACAGATGAATGGATGGACCGATGGATGAATTTATAATCGCATAGAGAGAAAGATGTGTTTGTAAAGGACGTGGCTGTGGCTCAGAAGGTAGAGCAGGTTGATCGCCAATTCCAGGTTCAACCCTCGGTTCCATGTATAAAAGTGTCCTTGAGCAAGACATTGAATCCCGAGTTGCTCCCGGATGGCTCCGCCGCCATCAGTAAATGAATGTGTGAATGGGGTCGTTAAAAGTTTATATGTACACCACGAGGTGATAGTCCTATAGTAGGTAGTTTCGGCTCCGAGTCACAAAACATGAAAAAAGGACATAATTGCACACCTATTTACCTTATTAAGCGTAAAACCTTCTAAATTTCATGACCAGCTTAATTGCGTTGTTAACTCGACATAAACTAAATAAAACTCACCTTGGTTAGACTTTCCACTGTTCCGACAATCACCAACTCTACTTTGGCCGAAATAAACCTTTGATTCACTGAGTTAGATTGGAAGATATTCGGACTCTACACCCTATTTCTCCACGCTGCCTCTCTCATTCCTGACCCCCCTCTTGCTCCTCTCCTGGAGTCCCCCGGAGTCAGAGTCCTGGTTGGAGCCGCTGTAAATCACCTCAGTACTGTATGTCCTGCTGTCAAACTGGCCTCTGTCGGCCTCGGAGGCTGGGTTTCATCCCATCCGGCCGTGTTCAGTTCCATTGCTGATGGATGCATGGACAAGTGGCCTAATGGACTGATGTATAGATAAGGGATGGATGGAAAGAGGGATGGACGAATGGATAGGTTGGTAGACGTATGGAGTGAAAGATATCTGACTGGATGGAAACATATGAATGAATGGATGAGGGTTTTCTGCTTGGCCTCCCATTACAATAAACCACACAGTAAACACAACACATGCACACGACTGTTGTTGCATTACAGTAACACATGTACTTCACTCATTCAACATGTATTGACTTAAGTGCTCCTTTACTGCCCCCCCCCCACCAATCCCTGTCCCTGTCCCCCCCACCACACACACACACACACACACACACACACACATACTGGGCGTGGTGTCTCTGATATAAATTTTTCACTGTGGTGATCTCTGCTGTAAGTGGCAGACCTTCGACTCTTCTCCCAGCCGTCTCTGCTGGGAGCTTCTCCTCACATGTGAAACACTGCTAACAGCTACCCAGGGAGGAAGAGGAGGCTGTTTTTTTTTTTTTTTTGTGTGTGTGTGTGTGTGTGTATGTGTTCTCGTGTGTGTTCATGCATGTGTGTGTGAGAGTCCTTTCATTTCAGCTCCCATGGGTACAGGAGAGTGAATGAATAAATAAACTATTCTTTTCAATTCTTTTGTGATCTTTCTTTAAAAAAAAAAAAAAATGCTCTTAAACCGCTCTGTGATATTTAAAAATCTTTAAAGGAAATACGAACAAATGTGCAGATGTGTGACGAGGACACCTGCTTCTTTTTGGTCTCTGAACACATTCTTTCAGGTGAGTGGAGCTGGGTGGACCGCTGCGTGTCCTTGACAGTCCTATTGAAAAATTAAACTCCCTCTCCTCATCCGCCCCCAACCCTTCCTCCCCCTCCTCCACTTCTTCATGCACCCATTTTCCCCTGTCAACCCTCCTGAGCACTGAGAAAGGTCAAAGGTCAAGTTGCTCAGATTTCTCTGAGGCTTTAGTGAGGCACATTCTGTAAGGAAAGGTATGAAACAACAAGCATTGGTTACAGTGTGAATCTAAGACTCATCATCAGTCAGATTTTAACCACAAAATAATGTCATTTTCTAAACGGATTTTAGATTTTAAAAAGATTTGCATGATATCAAACCCCATTTTTGATGCTATTTGTTACATTTCTTTTCAGCATTAGTCATTCATATTTACCTTCTGTAATTGACTCTTTCATATTGTGATATTCCTGCACAGGATTCAAATTGCCTAACTACAGTGAAGGGATTCACAGGAAACGATGGATGTGATGCAGAAGCTATACAGCATTTCATGTCATGTGGAAGACAACATTCAACTGTGGTTCCGTGGGAACATAGCTGATTGTCTTCTTTATTAAAACAACACAACATGATGAATCCTCTCACTTTGTTTGGCTGCAGACACACACGTTGATCTTTACACATCATTGTTGTCAAAGTTCAGGCAGTGCACCTGCCAATACCAGCAGTAACCAAAGGTGTTGCCAATCAACCAGGACTTAAATCTTAAGGTTTATGTCTTTAAAACATTATTTTTCACTCAGATTTATGGTTCTTTGCACTCCAAGATGGCCCGTCATTTATTTTAAACCAGGTTGCAATGAGAACAATCTCGGAACCCATCGGCTAGCATCTGCTAACAATCTACCCTCTGGGGGCAACGGCCAGTGTTTCGGGGCTTTCGGTGTAGCAAGCTGATATTCGGAAAACAGATAACGGATATCTGGGCCAAGATTTCTGACGATTATCAACTTGATACGCAAGAATGACGAGAAAGTCACATTTCAGCTTTCTCTACAAACGTAGATATGCAGAGAAATGAAAAAATTGCTCTCCACATGGACTTTTTACCTGCAAACAATCAAAACCTACTGAAACATAAGATAACGTAGACATTATTGATCCCACACTGGGGAAATTCTCCAACATGATTGGTCAATACTACTCGAACTACAAACAGAAACCAGAACATGTCTGATACAAACATTTTGGTCCCTACTTGCTTTCAGATTCTGTTCACAGAGATTAAAACTGAAAACTGTTGAAATTCTACAAGCACGACTTTATGACATCTCATCTGAGACCCGGCTCGGTTCCGTCATCCACGCGTCTTCAAATCCCAACGAGTGTTTCAGAAGCAGAGTGTCGGTGTTATGCCCACCTGACGTTGTTGACTGATATAGCGAGAAATTTTACCATGAAAAGCCTCCATGTTGTATTTTATTTTGAAAATGGACCAGATTAGATATGCCGTTTCTGTGTCTGACTTCCTTGGATCAGAGGTTGAGAAAACTATCTCCATTCAAAGTCCACTTTCTTGCTTGTTCTGATACTTATAAAGTTCAAGAATGAACTCAAGCTCAACTTTGAAGGTAACGTGGATGAGGAGTCCTGAAAGTGCTCTAAGAAATGTATATTATGTTGTTCACCAGCATCTTGAAAAAATAAAGCGATGTGAGAACATCTAGTATTAAGTCACATGTTTGTGTGTGGGTTAAGATTTAAATTCATATTACTTATCTACTCACCAATACACACATAGTGTATTTTATAGTTCCATCTCAGAGTAGCTGTGTTTTGATCAACATATTGTCTGTCTCTAAAGCCATAATATGAGTGTGTGTGTGTGTGTGTGTGTGTGTGTGTGTGTGTGTGTGTGTGTGTGTGTGTGTTTGGGGAGAGAGAGAGAGAGAGAGAGAGAGAGAGCTCCCTAATGCTCTCTGATTTTATTGACATCACTTATTCATGTCCCTGCTGTCCCATACAGGTCCACTTAAGACCATTGTCACTACACCCAGTTTGAGTGGTACTGATCTGCATTTCACTGTCATGTGCTGCAACAGTGTGATCGTAATTCAACCAGTATTTCAATCAGACCTCTGTTTACCGTGTCCGTGTGTGTGTGTGTGTGTGTGTGTGTGTGTGTGTGTGTGTGTGTGTGATATCTATGATGTGGTCAAATATTGGATGTGAAAACAGACAGCAGGTCAATATCAGTCAATGCACTCTGTTATAAATATCAAACCTATATTATCCATCACTTGATCAGCTCTTTGTTGACTTGTCTTATCATCTCACTCTGCACAGAAACATAATCTCTATCTAAATAACTTGTTTTGTTCTTTATCCCCAAACAAAAGCTCAAAGCTGGAGGCTGAGGCCTGATTGTGGACTGTCTCACATGACATCCTTTTCTTTCTCCTCTCAAATCTGTGTCTCCAGCAGCCTCTCTCTAAGCCGGGTAGAGTGGTCTTCTTGATCCTGTGGAAGCTGTTTGAAGAGTTTCAGTCCCTCTGCCTGCTCTGACTGACAGCCGTGCTCCGCTGGCCAGTTGCTGGCCTGAATCCCCCGGCTTTGGGCCTCTGCAGCCGGCTCTCATCCAGGCCTGATCCCACAGAGGAAAGCCTCACTGCCGTCAGGACGGATTTGACAGTCCTTGCTCATCCTAGGGATGTCCAAAGTGCTTTCACAGTGGGTGAATGAACCCCTCCCACCGTTGCTCCCCACGGCCCGAACCAACTGTAGTGTGATAGGCAAGTGTGCGTATTGTATTTGTTTTATTTGTTAGAAAGATATCTAAAATGTACCTTATGCATGTCAGTGAAATTTAGTGAAGTTAGCCTAGGATGAATTGTGCGTTGTTTGATTGATAACACCACCTTATAAAGCACATCAAGCCCTTTGTCAAAAGTTGAAATGTTTCAGTCCAGTTGGAAGCCACACATTAAAAAATGCTGGGTTAAATGTGACCCCAGTGTGGTGAATATCAAACACAGACACGATACTGGGTTCATTTTACCCAGTATCAGCCAACAGAAAGGTTGTTTTGATCCTGTAACCCAACAGTAATGTAAAACTAACACCAACACTGGGTCAAAAAACCCAATTGGTACTGGGTCAGATTAATCCAGTATTACGTCTCACGCTATATTGACTCCAATGTGTTTTGGTTTATTTCTGGAAACTTAAAATTACAGTGTGTTTTACAATAATCAGGGGAAATGATTGGTTATTTGGGCAGTGGCTAAATTATCTGACTATATATTGCTGAAGGTAAGTGAGAAAATATGTTCTTTTGTCATTTGGGTGCACCGACCCTTTGAAGGCAACGGACAAGATTCTTTGTTGGTGCAACTTTTCACCACTGGATCATTATCTAGTGAACACGTGTGTCAGGAGACAGACAGGACATTGACTGGGTCAGGAAATGGCTAGAGAGTGTAGACATAGGAGTGGGAGCTGAGCTTCATTGATAAACCTACTTCAGTCCCAGACAAGGAAGGAAGCAGCGCAGGCTGCAGGAATGGGAGGGAGACGCTATAGATCCAGTATTGGGACAGGAGTCCAGCCACTGCCAGCCATTGATCAGGATCACAATCAATCAGGAAACCATTGAGCAGCTTGGTCCAAAAATAGAGTGAAAAAGCACCTGAGAGCGAGCAGTGAACAGGGTCAGCTCGGAGTCACAGTTGACCGCCTGAAGACATCGTGTCCCCTCTCACTCTGATCGCCTGAGGCAGCAAGTGGATCAGAGCACTGCTGTAAACCTCAGAGATGTGTTTCATAATGGAGCGTACAGGTTTATGCTACTTGACCCCTGACCCTCAAATGTTATTGACATGTTTCCTTGTTCATGGGTCAAATCCTCCTCCCTGGAGCCAGAGATCTTTTAGCTTAATGCACCAGGCTGAACCAGCTGCAGTCAGAAAACCTGTTCTTATGTTTGTTTGTAACATTTTAGGGAGAGGGTGTGGAACAGTGAGCACTGTTCAACGACTTGTATAAAGTCAATTAAAATTATATTTGAATTTGAAAATATATTTGGTTTTTCATGTGAATTTATTCTGCTGTTTCACTTTAGCGTTCAGAGTTACTCACATCTTTACTGTTTGTAGCGTTGCTTCTGAAATGTTTTTTTACTTTTCGTTATTTTTTCACCCTTGAACAGTAAGTGAAGTCTTACACTCTTTTTTAAGCCGTGGTAACCCTTCGCACACGTTTTAAAGGATTTAAAACAAAATTAATTTACAAATTACAAATTAATAATTAAATATGCACTGAAGCTGTATATTTTGCCATATTCTGTTGATGATATTGTGTTTGAAGCATGCCGAGCATACTGATGGACAGAGGAGAAGTTGATTAGGGCCTCAGGGACAATGTGTCTGCCACCCCAAACAAAAAGTCTTTTGGTAGAATTTTCCTTTAAACTTTTTTCATGTTTAGGTTGTGCAACTGAGCTTGACAGTTCATCCTTGACCCTGAAACAGCAGCTGACAAAGCAGTCTCAAATCAAGTTCCACCCAAATTACACAGAACCTTTAGTCCCAGGAACTACTTTTTGAGGAACTAAAAGGTTCCGTCAGCTTGTTGTTGTCTGCGTGTGATACAGTTGAAATCTACAGAATAAGCTGGTAAGCCGACCTTGAGTCGAGATCGGTTTGTCAAAAGTGTGTTATGGGTGTGTGAGAAAAACAAAATTACACACAGTTTTCTGTGCAGAAAACTAAAGTAAAGTAAAATTCTGATTATAATTTAAGATCTAAACTCTGAAGACCTGAACACAAGCTACATTCACTGAGCCTAATTTGTCGAAAAAGAAGCCTGTTTAGTATGTATGATTGCTTAAAATGAAAAAAACAATCGTTCTGCTGTTCACTGTCTTGGTTCATTGTTTAGTTTTGAATATAATAATATAATTATCATCAGTCACCAGTCATCAGTCCCCTTGAGGAAAAATGTTGGACACCACTGGTCTATTATATATCTGTCCTGGATCACATTCTCATAAATTGCTACTCAACTCAAGCGTTGATCATTATGACAATGTAACATTTTCAGCTGTTTCTCCAACTCTGAGAAAAATCTTTAAAAACCTAAAAGTAGAAGCAAAACTTTTCAAACTTGTGAATGCAGCAACTGACCCACATAAAAGCACATTTTTCTGTTTATAGCTACAGTCACTAGCGTGTAGAAGAAAAAAAAAAAGCTTGCACATGTTGCCGTCCATCCCTGGACATACCTGTGTTATAACAGAGAGAATAAAATGTTCTCCTGAAGTGAAATATCACTTTAAGCTGCTTCACTTTGTTTGGGAGCCAGCAAGCCGACGGTGGTGCCAATGTGGAGTAAATCTTCCTGGGTTTGTGTGCTGAAACCTCGGAGAGGAAGGGAGGAGGTCAGAGGAAGACCGGTGGGGAGGAGGAGGGCTGAGCGAGGCCAGCGGTAAGACTCCTCGGTCCTGCCCACGGGAGATAAGTGTCCGTCTCCATCCACTTCATACGCCAGACCCCGAGAATATGTACAGTATGTATATGATATGGAGATGCACAAACACACACACAATATCCAGATTATCTGCTGGAAGAGGTTTACACAGACCTCACATCTTGAGCCCGATGTACATACACACACACACACACACACATTTTTACACACATGAACATATCCAAAGATAGCGTTAAATGTGGCGAGGACAGTGTGCATCCGGCGGTGGCTGTGTGGAGAATCGGCCTGACTAAGCTCTGAATTTACATGGCTAAGCAAAGTTGTTAACCCTGAGAGGCAGGGCCAGAGAGGGAGCTAATGGGATTTCTCTGTTAATGAAATTTATGAAAGAGAGTGAGAGAAAGAGAGAGGGAAGTAGAGTGAGAGTGAGGGATGGAAAGATAGAAGAAGCAGTAGAGGAAGGAGAGATGTTGGGGAAGGCCCATGCAGTTCCTTCACATTGTTTCTGGCAGCAGGAGCAGTGATATATTTACATACACCTTTTTAAATTTTAGTTAGAAAAAGACGAGTGGAAATGCCAGAAATAAAATAAAAAAAGCTGAACTCTGGCGCAAGAAAAGTTTGTATGCTTGGCTGAGTAGAGAAGTTGGGATATTAAAAAGGGAGAGCTGCGAACGAGGCTGATAAAAAAGTTTCTCACCAGAAAAAGGCTTTGTCGCTGTGCGAGTAGCTTATTACGATGCATATTTGCGTTTATTGTTAAGTGGCGACCTCTAGTGGCCGCAGTAATTATGACTGGAGTATAAAGAGCGAGAACTAGAGCCCTGTTCGGGACTGTTTTCTTAATCTCGCTCCCACATGCTCCCGGTGTCTTCCGCTCCCATTCACACCCACACAAGAGAGATTTCTTCTCCTCTCCTGTCCTGCAGGTGAAAAGACGTTATTTTACTGTGTCAGTAAGAACTGAAACATTCCTCCACATGTCAGACTTGCCTTGCTAAAAACCAGCTTTAATCTTTTTTCAACTTCATTTGTTGATTTTTGACCACCGAGTCCCGCATGCAGCAAAGCCAAAACCACCCGCTCAGACGATATTTGTTTTGGGTGCTGCAGAATCCCAATGCAGTCCGGCTGAAATCAAAAGTCAGAGTTGAGTTATTTCAAGTTTTAAGTTACTTAAGTTCTGTACGCGACTTACGTCTCATGATTTGTGTCAACCCAAACATGATCCTAAACCTAACCTAACCATAACCAACATTACCCACATGTTTAATGTCCGTCGCTGGTACTCTCCACTGGTCGTATATATCCATTACTAAAGCAGCTCAGGGTACACATGGCTGAGAAGAGACAAAATCATTCATTCATTTGGTGGGAAGCAGTGATGACGTGAATGGTGCGCCATTAATTCTGTAGTCATAACTTCTTGAAGGAATTCACATGGCGGTAGAAGATGGAAAGACATTTTTCTGTGCAGAGAATCTGCAGCATTGTGAAACTAACTTATGAAGAGGAAATAAAGAAAGAGGCAAAGAGGAGGAAGAGCTACTACTCCACTGATCACACTGTGATCATCTAACAGCTATGGTGGGTAGTCCGTCCTGTGTTTAAGTTTACATGCTTCTTTTTCTTTCCTCCTTAGGAACTCTTCCTGAAATCTGTTAATAACCCTATCGATTAAGATAGATAATCATATAAAGCATCATTTTGCTTCTGCTACTTTTAAAAAACGTAAGAAAACTACGCACATTTCCAGCAACGTGCTTTATTGTTCCTGTAATTAAACAACCCAAAATGTATAGCAGTGTGGCTTCACTACTACAATCCCTCTCCCTTCAGGTGTGTAAAATAGGATGTAAGCTCTGTTCAAACATACTAACAGATGGAGTTGACATGTTGGTTGATGGTACTTTGTGTTTTCTCTCCAGGGTTCAGCGCTCGAGTCGACGGCTGCCCTCCGGCTGTGTGAGCTGCACCTTGGCCTCTCAACACAAACCCTGCAGCGGCAGGAAGGTCTCGTTCCTCCTGTTTGCCCCGGAGTGAGTGGGCAGAAGATTGTGATGAGCGAGGAAGAAGACCAAGAAGAAGAAGATGGGGGCAAGTGTTGAAGTGAGTGAGGGTGTGCTGATGGGGGAGGAAATTACCCCCGAGTCTGCACATTCTCCTGTGCAAACACACAAACACACACACACCTTCGTTTTCCTGGGTTTGGTTTGCTGTTTTAGTTTGATGCTGAGGCAGATTTCTTCATGAGCCCCCCCTCACCACCTCCACCACCACTAACACACACATACACACCCCCCCACCTCACCCCTTCGCCCCTCTCGCCCTCCGAACCCGGCACAGTCAGCATCGCCGTGGCGACGCCAATCGATGCTCCGCGCCCCGCTGAGCGTGTCCACACAAGGCCGAGCGAAGGGCCCCTCCGCAGGGGATTGTGGGAAATCTGATTTATGATGCCCGCGGTGTTGCTGACCACTAAATTTTGCTCCCTCTCTCTTCGTCTCTCCCTTTGTCTCTCCATCTCTCTCCCGCTCTCGCTCTCTTCTCTCTGTGACTTACCTGTTTAACGCTCTCTTCCTGCACAACGTTGTCGCTTTATGAAAATGAGAGCGACCGTCGGAGAAGCACCTGGAAAAAGGCAGGAGTAAAGTGAACTCCTCGGTGGGGAAAATAGGACGGGACGTTGGGCAAAAGGGACCGACTGGAGGATGAGAAGGGGTTTGTTAAGGAGGATGGGGTGAGATAAAGAGGTGGAGAAAGAAAAGATGATTCCATTTCATAGGGATCTGCCTGCAGGAGGAGGATGTAGAGAGGATTTTCACGGCTGCTTTGGTGCTCAGCCTCTCTCATCTGCTGTTGTCTCTGCCCTGGCACTCTTGTGACGTTTTAACCAGCAAGCAGAACACACACACTCATACTACTGTATCTCATTACATCACACATTGTTCTGTGATGGCAGGGGTCTCCAAGCTTTTTTAGAGCGAAGGCCGAAAATTGTCAGAGGGCAACTCTATGCGAACATCCAAATGAATTCTTTCAACAGAATAACATAGCTGTGTGTTATTTTCACCTTTATCCATTTTCACAAACTGTTTGATTTAGGATTGTGGGTGTGGAAGTTTCTCTGGTTGTGGTAAAACACTGAAGGATCTTATGAGAAATCCACTGATATGAACTGAGAGTCACATTTCTCAGCTTGTCTAATCAAGGTACACCCATTAATTAAAAGATCAGGAAAATCTAAAAGTGCAACTCAAAGACAAAGTCGAAGAGGACTGAAGCCTCCACAGAGAATGAACGGCAAATACAGAAGGGACGGACAGAGAAACATGGTTTCAACTCAGAGCATATGATAAAGGGCAGTCCTGATATTTAATTAATAAAAACACGTCAGTACAGAAGGTGCTGTGGGCACCTTGTAGAACAGTGGTTCATCATTGAGTAAACTGACGACCACTGACTCAGTGACATATTTTTATTGAATAACAGTAACAGTAGAGAACCACTGATCAGCTGTACAATAACTGCATGAAGTTTATGTAAAATGAGC